TTCCCATCAGGTACGAAACAATCTCACAAAATGTTTTCAAGTTTGTCAACTTTACTTGTATCTTGCACACATAAACCATGAAGTCAAACAGTGCTGCAGAAAGAAGGGTGGATGGTAGTTGATGTTTATACAAGAAAGATCCCATAACTTGTCCCAAATCAGCTTACGTTTAATGTAATAAATAGTAAATAAACCCGCGTAATTAATGCTCGTTTCACGTTGAAGCAGGACAGCGAGTAGCCTATTAACATAGTGTGTGATCAGATTAACCTGCTTTTAATTATTTAATACTTCGCATTAAAGAATCAAACTTTTAACTCTAAAAGACATTATGTATAGTCATCGAAAAAATTTAAAAACAGTTAGGCATCTAATATGAGCTTTAATTAGAATAATTTATTGAGGGGCTTTTAACTCTAAAATACATTATGTACAGTCATCGAAAAAATTTAAAAACAGTTAGGCATCTAATATGAGCTTTAATTAGAATAACTTATTGAGGGAAATTCCAACCTTGAACCCCCTCGAACAAAAAAAACTCTTAAAGGACTATTTATCATATTAGTTTACAAACTACTTCAGACCCAGAACTTCCTATGGTCGAGAGTGTTTAGTTAGGCACAATGGGCTATCTGTGCTCTGCCCACCACGGGTATCGAAACCCGGTTTCTAGCGTTTAAATCCGCAGACATACCGCTGTGCTACTGGGGGGCTATTTATAGTTAAGCATTCTTTGATGACTCGCTCTAGGCGCAGGAACACTCACTCATAAGTATAGGTAGTTGATGTTAAATGTCACTCGCTCTAAGCGCAGAAACACTCACTCATAAGTATAGGTAGTTGATGTTAGATGTCACTCGCTCTAAGCGCAGAAACACTCACTCATAAGTATAGGTAGTTGATGTTAAATGTCACTCGCTCTAGGCGCAGGAACACTCACTCATAAGTATAGGTAGTTGATGTTAAATGTCACTCGCTCTAAGCGCAGAAACACTCACTCATAAGTATTTTTCTTTTCTAATAAGGAAGCAAAATTATTGCTCTTTTATAGATGAAACAATAGTCTACGCATGAAATAACAGAACATTTAAAATGTACATTAAAACTTTATTTGGTTGACGGCTGAAATTAAAATACTAAATATTTCGGCAACTTTACGATGTTATCATCAAGATTAGAACTTACGCGGCGATCTTTATAAGGAGGTTTAATTTTAAGGGTAATAAGAATGTTATTAATAAAAAAAACCTAATTTCTTAGCAGTCTCGCATGGCCTAATGGTTAGGAGTCCCGACTCGCCAGCTGATGGGTGCGGGATCGAATCACGTCGCTGAATATGCTCGCCCTTTCAGCCGTGGAGTTATTATAATATTATGGTCAATCTCACTTTTCGTTGGTAAAGAGTAAACTAAGGGTTGGCGGTGGGTGGTGTGGACTGGCTGTCTTCTCTCTAGTCTATTACTTCTAAATTAGGCACGGCTAGCTCAGATAGCCCTCTAGCCCTGGATATCAGTAATCGAATAAAAACACGAATACTTCATAATTTTATGAAAACGAATACAGGAAAACTGATAAATATTCGAATACGAAGCCACCAAGTGGCACAGCGGTATGTCTGCAGATTTTCAACGCTAGAAACTGGGTTTAGATACCTGTAATGGGTAGAGCACAGATAGCCCATTGTGTAGCTTTGTGCTTAACTATAATAAAAGAAACAAATCGAATACGAAAACGAATACAGGAAAAATGTTAAGTATTCGAATACGAATACATAGGAATACATTCATAAAATACTTGGTAGTTAATGTGTGTTATTGACAAAACAGCAAACGAAAAAATTTCAATACTTTTGTTCTAAGAAACAAACTTTTTAGAAACTGAAACAAATAGAGTTTGAACAAACAATTAACATTTCAATACTTTTATTTTTCAAAATGCAATAACAAAGTTTTAGAACAAAAATATATTCTTAAACGAGACTTTATAATTGTCCATTGTTCTTTACGAACATTAGTTTCTCAAAAGCCTTGTCAGTGAGGCGGTAGCGATCAGGTCTGAGGGCTTTGCATCAAATGCTAAACAAACGCTTAACGGGGACTAGTAGAGATAGGGTAGAAACGTTTGTTCATGGATCTTTCAATAATTTAGAGGGTTATTTTTTTCAGGAATACAAGGTTAGTGTTGATCTTTGTATCCTCTGAAGATAAGGTGGCTGGTTTCTTGGAAGCAGCAAATGAACTAATGAGCTTACTTCTTTTGCGAGGGGGGAGGGGGTTACAATCCTCTTTTGGTTCCATCACGGTTGTAGGATTGTTTATTGAGGAAACTTTCTTGACTTCTTGCTGCATGAGGATTCGATTGGATTCATAGACCATGGGTCTAATGAAAAACCAGTCAAGTATAAATCTGGGATCTAATGTCGCAGCCTTGCAGATGACATTTCGTTGCACATACTGAGTCAGCAGGGCGTGAACAGATTGGTTCAAAAGAAGGAAATGGCGTCCTAAGGATTTCAAATGACCAAGAAAACCACTAGGGGACATCCTGAGCTTTCGACTGGTTATTCATGTCACATATAGAAGTAAGTGTATATAAGGGAGGGTTTCCAAAAATGGAAAGAAGTGGGTGGGGTGCCAGTGTGTTTGATTTATTACATGAGCAATATCTTAGCAAATAGAAAAGTTAATACCTTCTTATTTTATATTCTAGCTTGTTAATATCTGTAATTTGAGTTTCTAATTCGTACGAAGCTATAGACTTAGTATTTTGACTTCACAAAAACCTAATTTGAACCAGTGCTGCATTCAACATACCACGTGACACACATAAATCAATGTTTATCTGTTTTTTAATATTTATTTTTAAATTCAGAAATTGAATAATGTATAGCACAAAAATCTGAATTACAATCTACAGTTTGATACCAATATTATTGACATAAATTCATGAAATAGTAGTTCAAAAAATTTTGAATGTGAGTCA